CATGGGGGGACACATGTGGGAACAGAGGGGACATAGGGGGACACGGGGGACTCGGGGGACACAGGGGGACACATAGAGGGACACAGGGGGACTTGGGGACACCCAGAGGGGACATGGGGGGACATCAGGGGACATGGGAACACACAGGGGGACACAGAGGGGACATGGAGGGGACACGTGTGGGAACAGAGGGGACACGGGGGGACTTGGGGACATGCAGAGGGGACACAGAGGGACTTGGGGACACACAGGGACACACAGAGGGGACACTGGGGGACATGGGGGGAGTCGGGGACACAGAGGGGGACACAGAGGGGCACACTCCCAGTGCCTCCCAGTGCTCCCGAGGAACATCCCAGTAACCTCCCAGTGCTCCCAGTTGCCCTGTATCCTTGGTCCTGCTGAGTGCAAGCGCCCAGGGCATCAGGACTCCCCCCAGTGCCTCCCAGTATCCTCCCAGTACTGACAGAGCACACTCCCAGTGCCTCCCAGTGCTCCCGAGGAACATCCCAGTAACCTCCCAGTGCTCCCAGTTGCCCTGTATCCTTGGTCCTGCTGAGTGCAAGCGCCCAGGGCATCAGGACTCCCCCCAGTGCCTCCCAGTATCCTCCCAGTACTGACAGAGCACACTCCCAGTGCCTCCCAGTGCTCCCGAGGAACATCCCAGTAACCTCCCAGTGCTCCCAGTTGCCCTGTATCCTTGGTCCTGCTGAGTGCAAGCGCCCAGGGCATCAGGACTCCCCCCAGTGCCTCCCAGTATCCTCCCAGTACTGACAGAGCACACTCCCAGTGCCTCCCAGTGCTCCCGAGGAACATCCCAGTAACCTCCCAGTGCTCCCAGTTGCCCTGTATCCTTGGTCCTGCTGAGTGCAAGCGCCCAGGGCATCAGGACTCCCCCCAGTGCCTCCCAGTATCCTCCCAGTACTGACAGAGCACACTCCCAGTGCCTCTCATTCCCCCAGCAACGGCACCCAGTGCCTCCCAGTGCTCCCAGTTGCCCTGTATCCTTGGTCCTGCTGAGTGCAAGCGCCCAGGGCATCAGGACTCCCCCCAGTGCCTCCCAGTATCCTCCCAGTACTGACAGAGCACACTCCCAGTGCCTCCCAGTGCTCCCGAGGAACATCCCAGTAACCTCCCAGTGCTCCCAGTTGCCCTGTATCCTTGGTCCTGCTGAGTGCAAGCGCCCAGGGCATCAGGACTCCCCCCAGTGCCTCCCAGTATCCTCCCAGTACTGACAGAGCACACTCCCAGTGCCTCCCAGTGCTCCCGAGGAACATCCCAGTAACCTCCCAGTGCTCCCAGTTGCCCTGTATCCACTTTTGTCCTCCTGGGTGCAGGTGCCTAGTGCATTAGGACTCTCCCCAGTATGTCCCAGTATCCTCCCAGTCTGTCCCAGTGCCCTCCCAGTAACATCCCAGTTACTGAGGAACATCCCAGTACCTTCCAGTACTCCCAGTTGCCCTGTACCCACCTTGGTCCTCCTGGGTGTGGGTGCCCAGTGCATCAGGACTCCCCCCAGCGCCGTCCAGAGCCCTCCCAGTGCCTCCCAGTCTGTCCCAGTGCCCTCCCAGTAACTGCCAGTGCCTCCTGAGGAACATCCCAGTAACCTCCCAGTGCTCCCAGTTGCCCCGTACCCGCTTTGGTCCTCCTGGATGTGGGTACCCAGTGCATTGGGACCCCCTCCCCAGTGCCTCCCAGTCCATCCCAGTATCCTCCCAGTCCATTCCAGTATCCTCCCAGGACTGACAGAGCACACTCCCAGTGCCTCTCATTCCCCCAGCAACGGCACCCAGTGCCTCCCAGTGCTCCCAGTTGCCCTGTACCCACTTTAGTCCTCCTGGGTTCAGGTACCCAGTGCATTGGGACTCCCCCCAGTGCCTCCCAGTCTGTCCCAGTGCCCTCCCAGTAACTGCCAGTGCCTCCTGAGGAACATCCCAGTAACATCCCAGTGCTCCCAGTTGCCCTGTATCCTTGGTCCTGCTGAGTGCAAGCGCCCAGGGCATCAGGACTCCCCCCAGTGCCTCCCAGTATCCTCCCAGTACTGACAGAGCACACTCCCAGTGCCTCCCAGTGCTCCCGAGGAACATCCCAGTAACCTCCCAGTGCTCCCAGTTGCCCTGTATCCACTTTTGTCCTCCTGGGTGCAGGTGCCTAGTGCATTAGGACTCTCCCCAGTATGTCCCAGTATCCTCCCAGTCTGTCCCAGTGCCCTCCCAGTAACATCCCAGTTACTGAGGAACATCCCAGTACCTTCCAGTACTCCCAGTTGCCCTGTACCCACCTTGGTCCTCCTGGGTGTGGGTGCCCAGTGCATCAGGACTCCCCCCAGCGCCTCCCAATGCCTTACCAGTGCCTCCCAGTCTGTCCCAGTGCCCTCCCAATGCATCCCAGTACCTAACCAGTCTGCTCCAGTGCCCTCCCAATGTGTCCCAGTACCCTACCAGTGCTTCCCAGTTCTCCCAGCTGCCCTGCACCCACCTCAGTTCTCCTGGGCAAGGGTGCCCAGTGCATCAAAACCCCTCCCAGTAACTCCCAGTGTGTTCCAGCATCCTCCCAGTACCTTCCCAGTGCCTCCCAGTACCCACCTTGGTCCTCCTGGGCGGCGGCGTTGTAGTTGATCTGCTTGCACAAGTACCCACCCTCGCCCAGGTTGCGCGCCAGGTCCTCCCACTGCCTCCCAGTGCACTCCCAGTGCCTCCCACTACCTTCCCAGTACCCCCCAGTGCCTCCCAGTACCCACCTTGGTCCTCCTGGGCGGCGGCGTTGTAGTTGATCTGCTTGCACACCCGCTTCCCCTCGCCCAGGTTGCGCGCCAGGTCCTCCCACTGCCTCCCAGTGCACTCCCAGTGCCTCCCACTACCTTCCCAGTACCCCCCACTACCTTCCCAGTACCCCCCAGTGCCTCCCAGTACCCACCTTGGTCCTCCTGGGCGGCGTCGTTGTAGTTGACCTGCTTGCGCACCCGCTTCCCCTTGCCCAGGTTGCGCGCCAGGTCCTCCTGCTGCTGCTCGTAGTGGTGCCGCAGCAGCTTCTCCCAGTAGTCGGGGTCGACGTTCTCCTCCTGCTTGATGATCTCCCGCTCGATCTCCTCGATCTGCCGGCACAGCGCTGTCAGCACCCACCCAGGCCACCCGCGGGCGCCCGCCGGAACCCCGTCGGGCCTGAGGTTGCCACCGCCAGGCTCCAGTGTCCCCAGCTCCATCGTTTCCATTGTCCCCAGCGCCATCAGCTCCACCTGCGTCATCCCCACCGTTCCCATCCACCATCATCTTCATCTTCCCCATCCCCATCGTCTCCATCATCCCCATCTCTGTCCCTATCACCTCCATTGTCCTCATCTCCCTTGTCTCCGCTGTCCCCACCTCCACCAGATCCATTGTCCCCACCATCTCCCTCATCCCCACCATCTCTATCTCCATCACCTCCATCATCCCCATCTCCATTGTCTCCGTTGTCCCCATCTCCACCAGATCCATTGTCCCCACAGTCTCCATCATCCCCATCATCTCTATCTCCAACATCTTCAGCACGCCCATCTCCATCATCTCAATCGTCCCCACTTCCACCATCTCCATTGTCCCCACCGTCTCCATCATCCCCATTGTCCCCATCATCTCCATCACCTCCATCGTCCCCATCTCCATCGTCCCCATCGTCCCCACCATCTCTATCTCCATCACCTCCATCATCCCCATCTCCATTGTCCCCATCATTTCTATCTCCCTCACCTCCAGCGTCCCCATCTCCATCATCCCCATTATCCCCATCATCTCCATCACCTCCATTGCCCCCACCATCTCTATCTCCCTCACCTCCAGCGTCCCCATCTCCATCATCCCCATTATCCCCATCATCTCCATCACCTCCATCATCCCCATCTCCATCGTCCCCATCATCCCCATCATCTCTATCTCCATCACCTCCATTGTCCCCATCTCCATCATCCCCATTATCCCCATCATCTCCATCACCTCCATTGCCCCCACCATCTCTATCTCCCTCACCTCCAGCGTCCCCATCTCCATCACCTCAATCATCCCCACCTCCACCATCTCCATGGTCCCCACCACCTCCACCACCCCCATCGTCCCCCCCTTCACACCCTATCCCGTGTCGCCCCGTCCCCGTCCCCGGGGCGCACCTTGTCCTCCTCACGCACGACGTACTGGGCCACCTTGAAGGAGCTGAGGTACTCGTTCATGTTCTGCACGTCAGCATCGTCGGTGGCATCCTGGTTGCGGTCCAGCAGCCGAGCGATGGCCTCGTTGTCGTAGTGGATGACGCTACTGTCCTCCTCCTTGTTCTCCCCTGCGCCGGCGACACGCTGCTGACACGGCCTGACGTGGTCCAGCAGGGCCTGGCACGGCTCAACATGGCCTTGGCATGCTCCAACATGGCCCAACGCGGCCTGACATGACCTAGTACGGCCCAGCATGGCCCAACATGGTCCAGCACAGCCCAGTACAGCCTGACATGGCCCAACATGGACCAGCACAGCCCAGTACAGCCCAACATGGTCCAGCACAGCCCAGCACAGCCTGACATGGCCCAACATGGTCCAACATCACCCAATATGGTCCAACATGGTCCAGCACAGCCCAATACACCCCGACACAGCCTGACATGGCCCAACATGATCCAACACAGCTTGACATGACCCAGTATAGCCCAGCATGGCCCAATATGGTCCAATATAGCCCAACATGATCCAACATGGCCCAACATGGTCCAACATGGTTCAACACAGCTTGACATGACCTAGTACAGCCCAGCATGGCCCAATATGGTCCAGCACAGCCCAGCACATCCTGACATGGCCCAACATGGTCCAACAAGGCCCAACATGGTCCAACAAGGCCCAACATGGTCCAACAAGGCCCAACATGGTCCAACAAGGCCCAACATGGTCCAACAAGGCCCAACATGGTCCAACAAGGCCCAACATGGTCCAACAAGGCCCAACATGGTCCAACAAGGCCCAACATGGTCCAACAAGGCCCAACATGGTCCAACAAGGCCCAACATGGTCCAACAAGGCCCAACATGGTCCAACAAGGCCCAACATGGTCCAACAAGGCCCAACATGGTCCAACAAGGCCCAACATGGTCCAACAAGGCCCAACATGGTCCAACAAGGCCCAACATGGTCCAACAAGGCCCAACATGGTCCAACAAGGCCCAACATGGTCCAACAAGGCCCAATATGGTCCAGCACAGCCCAGTACAGCCCAACACAGCCTGACATGGCCAAACATGGTCCAACAAGGCCCAACATGGTCCAGCACAGCCCAGTACAGCCCAACACAGCCTGACATGGCCAAACATGGTCCAACATGGCCCAACGTGGCTCAATATGGTCCAACACGGTCCAACGTAGCCCCACAGAGCTCAACATGGTCCAACATGGCCCAACATGGTCCAATATGGCCCAACATGGTCCAACACAGCTTGACATGGCCTAGTACAGCCCAGCATGGCCCAACATGGACCAGCACAGCCCAATACACCCCAACACAGCCTGACATGGTCCAACATGGCCCAACATGGTCCAACAAGGCCCAACATGGTTCAACATCGCCCAATATGGTCCAACAAGGCCCAATATGGTCCAGCACAGCCCAATACAGCCCAACACAGCCCAACATGGCCCAACATGGTCCAACATGGACCAACATAGCCCAGCATGGTCCAACACAGCTTGACATGACCTAGTACGGCCCAGCATGGCCCAACATGGACCAGCACAGCCCAATACAGCCCAGCACGGCCCGACACGGCCCAACATGGTCCAACATGGTCCAACACAGCTTGATATGGCCTAGCACAGCCCAGCATGGCCCAACATGGACCAGCACAGCCCAATACAGCCCAGCACGGCCTGACATGGCCAAACATGGTCCAACATGGCCCAAGATGGCCCAATATGGTCCAACACGGCCCCACAGAGCTCAACATGGTCCAACATGGCCCACCATGGTCCAACACGGCCCAACGTGGTCCAACACAGCTTGACATGACCTGGTATGGCCCAGCATGGCCCAACGTGGTCCAGCACAGCCCAATACAGCCCAGCATGGCCTGACATGGTCCAACACGGCCCAACATGGTCCAGCACAGCCCAATACAGCCCAACATGGCCTGACATGGCCCAACATGGACTGACATGACCTAGTATGGCCCAGCATGGTCCAACACGGCCCAATGTGGTGGCCCAACACAGCCCGACATGGACCAGCGTGGCCCAACACAGTCCAATATGGTGGTCCAACACGGTCCGACATGGCCCGACATGGCTCAACATGGTCCAACATGACCCAGTGTGGCCTGGCACAACCCAGCACAGCCTGACACGGTCCAGCATAGCCTGACGTGGCCCAACATGGCCCAGCGTGGCCTGGCATGGCCCAGAATGGCCTGACACACACTGACGTGGTCTGTCACGGCCTGGTACAGCACGGCATGGCCTCACACACCTGGTCACCACCTCACGTGTCCCACCACAGCCCTGTCACAGCCTCTCACACCCTATCGTAGCATCACACCTTCTGTCATAGCCTCATGCATCCCATCATGGCCCACACGTCCCACCACAGCCTCACGGGCTCCATCGTGGCCCCCATCGTGTCCTCGCATGTCCCATCATGGCTTTTCATGACCTGTCACAGCCCCATTGTGACCTCACGTGTCCCACCATGGCCTTGCACGTCCCACCATGGCCTCACACGTGCCACCACGGCCCCGTCACGGCCTCGTGTGTCCCATTCTGACCTCATCATGACCTTACGCATTTCATCACGGGTTTGCATAACGTTTCATGGCCTCGCATGTCCTGACGTAGCCTCGCACATCCCACCACGACCTCAAATGTCCCATCATGGCTCTGCGTGACCCATCATGACCCATCATGACCTCGAACATCCCACCACGGCTCTGTATGACCCATCATGACCTTGAACATCCCATCATGGCTTTGTGCGACCCATCATGACCTTGCACGTCCCACCACGGCTCTGCATGACCCATCATGACCTCGAACGTCCCACCACGGCTCTGCATGACCCATCATGACCTCGAACGTCCCACCACGGCTCTGCATGACCCATCATGACCTTGAATGTCCCATCACAGCTCTGCGTGACCCATCACGACCTCGAACGTCCCACCACAGCTCTGCATGACCCATCGTGACCTTCAACGTCCCACCACGGTCCTGCGTGACACCCATCACGACCCTGAACATCCCACCATGGCTTTGCATGACCCATCATGACCTCGAACGTCCCATCACAGCTTTTCAAGCCCAGTCACAGCCCACCATGGGCTCCCATGTCCTACCACTGCCTCCCACGTCCCACCACGGCCTCCCATGTCCCACCACGTCCCCCCCCAAAGCCCGGCACACCCTGTCCCACCCATCCCCAACCCCGTTGGGCGCTGACCCTCGTTCTCATCCTTGAAGAGCTCCTCAGTGCCAAACTTGAGGATGTCATCAAGCTCCTGCTTGGACATGGAGCCGGCCTTGGAGCCCAGCCCGGGGCGCACCACCAAGTGCGTCAGCATCATCTTGCGCTTGGCCACCTGCGTGATGCGTTCTTCCACCGACGCGCGCGTGACAAACCGGTAGATCATCACCTTGTTGGCCTGGCCGATGCGGTGTGCCCGGCTGAAGGCCTGGGGGGACAGGGACGCGAGGTGTCAGAGAAGGGACGTGGAGATGGGGGACATGTCAGGTGGTGGGGGACAAGGGTGGGGGGACGCCAGTAGGGACATGGTGGTGGGGGACATCAGAGCAGGGACGTGGTGGCGGGGGACGCGCCGGAGCAGGGATGCGGTGGTGGGGGCCGTGGTGGCAGTGGGGGACAGGGACACCGTGGGGGACACGGGGACAGAGCGGGAGAAATGGAGGGAGGGTTGGGGACAGGGTATCAGGATGGGTGACAGGGTACTGGGTGGGAGACGCTGGGCAAGTGACAGGTTGCAGGGCGGGTGACATGGGGTGGGTGACATGGGGTGGGTGACAGCAGGTGGGTGACAAGGTGCCAAGGGGGGTGCCAGGTGGGTGACACTAGGTGTGACAGGGTGGCGGGCAAGTGACAGGGTGCCAGGCGGGTGATGCTGAGCGGGTGACAGGCAGCTGACATCGGGTGGGTGACAGAGTGCTGGGGTGGGTGATGCTGGGTAGGTGACAGGGTGCTGAGCTGGGTGACAGGGTGCCCGGTGAGTGATGCCGAGCAGGTGATGGGGTGCTGGGCAGCTGACATCAGGTGGGTGACAGGGTGCTGGGTGGGTGATACCAGGTGGGTAACAGGGTGCCAGGCGGGTGACACCCGACAGGTGACAAGTTGCTAGGTGGGTGAGGCTGGGTGGGTGACAGGGTGCCGGGATGGGTGACAGGGTGCCAGGATGGGTGATGCTGGCAGGTGACATGGTGCTGGGCAGGTGGTGCTGGACGGGTGACAGGGTGTGGGGTGGGTGACAGGGTGCTGGGGTGGGTGACAGGGTGCTGGGCAGGTGATGCTGGACGGGTGACAGGGTGCTGGGATAGGTGATGCTGGCAGGTGACATGGTGCTGGGCAGGTGGTGCTGGATGGGTGACAGTGCATGGGGTGTGTGACAGGGTGCTGGGGAGGGCGACAGGGTGCTAGGATGGGTGCCAGGGTGCCGGGATGGGTGACGCCGGGCGGGTGACAGACCTGGATGTCGTTGTGGGGGTTCCAGTCGGAGTCGAAGATGACGACGGTGTCGGCGGTGGCCAGGTTGATGCCGAGGCCCCCGGCCCGCGTCGACAGCAGGAAGCAGAACTGCTGCGCCCCCGGCGCTG